CGAGGTCATCTCCGGATTTGATGATAACCAGAAAGCCACGTAGGAAAAATCCAGGCTTCCCCATTGACTAAGAACTTTTCCCTTAGCTGCTCGCGTACTTGCTGAAACTTCCCTTAGCTGTCCGCGTACTTGCTGAAACTTCCCTTAGCTGTCCGCGTACTTGCTGAAACTTCCCTTAGCTGTCCGTGTACTTACTGAAAATGCCTGTGTGGGAGCTGCCTCCCCTTTGGCTCACCCCCTTCGGCTGGGAGCCCCCTCCTGATCTGTAGATCGGCATCCATGCCCCAGCCGCCTCCCCCACAGCTGCCACTGAAGTGTGGGCTGGACTCCAGTAGCCACTTTCCTCCTTTTAGAAAGTGAAATGAGAAGTTCCAAACTCATCACCATTTGGACGACACAGGGACTCGAAATTATGCTTTCAGTTCATTAAAATTTCTTTCTCTTCCTTTTTCTTGATAATCACAGTCTCACCTTCAGTGTAATGGTGTGCACGGCGAAATTCCCACCCCCTTGCTTTTTCGTTGCCAGTGATAACAGGCATATAGATGGCAAGATGTACAGTTGTGCCGAAAAATGGTAGATGTCTTTTAATGCAAAAAAAAAAAAAAAGACGCCATTTCTCATAAAAATAGGTTGTATGCTCTGCTTTTTTGTTGGCCCTAACACAGTGTGTGTTACTTTCAGCTGTCATTTAAAAATGCTAAGGGGCTTCCCTGGTGGCGCAGTGGTTGAGAGTCCACCTGCCGATGCAGGGGACACGGGTTCGTGCCCCGGTCCGGGAAGATCCCACGTGCCGCAGAGCGGCTGGGCCCGTGAGCCATGGCCGCTGAGCCTGCGCGTCTGGAGCCTGTGCTCCGCAACGGGAGAGGCCACAACAGTGAGAGGCCCGCGTACCGTAAAAAATAATAATAATAATAATAAATTAAAAAAATAAAAATGCTAAAAGCAGCTGCAAAACTTATATCCTTTTGTGGTTTTCCTTTTCATAGTAACATTTAGGAAATTAGCTGGGCCAAGATGATCCCAGTAAAGTAAGATAGTGAATTGCACTTATTTAAAATGAAGCCACATTAAAATACAATTACAGTTGATGTTCTTTCCTTGATATTAACACACATTTATATTTTACAGTCTATTGAGGTTTGCTATTTGAAATATTATCATTGATTATGGAAGGAGGTGCATTTTAAAGTATGTTCAGTAAATATGTAATATTTAATAGAAACTAAACAGTACCAGCCACAGCTGATATCACCTCATATTTAAAGTATAGTCCCTGACTTTGTAATTATGACTCTCTCCTCAGACTGTTTGGGACTGAGCATCTTTATGTTGTTTTTTCTTTTTCTTTTTAAACTCTTAATTTTGAGGAAATGGGAATCATTATTTATCAAGGGGATCCTCTCTCTGTGTCTTTAACTGCTCATCTCCAACCTCATTTAAGGGCCCATCCTTCTCTGCCAGTCACTGCAGTGTGTGTGGTCTTCCAGACTCTGCACTAAGCTCCTTTATTCACATTCCATACCTATGTCCTGGGTAGTTCCTATCTAGATGCTGGTGAATTCCAAGTCTGTATGTCCATCCTTGATGACGGCCCAAGTGCTCGATCTTCGTTTGTATCCCCTGCCTACTGGACGTCTCAATTTGGTTGACCCTGGAATCATTAGATTCAACATGTGTAAAATCGAGCTTACTTTCTTGAAGGCAGAATGGGGATAAATTGTGGGCTCTGGAGTCAATCGATTCTGCCATTTACTGGAGTCATGGCCATTGCTCGTGTGTAAAATGGGGGAAAGGTGGCACCTACCTCACAGGACCATTGTGAGAGTCAAATGCGAGTCCTCAGACCCAGGTGTAGAATGACTCTTTCGTGGATGTTGATGCAGATGTTTCGTGGATGTTGATACAGATATTTTGTATGTACGGTCTTGTTTGATGAGATGGATGTTTGTCTTCTTTGAGGGAGGGCTTGTTATTTTCTTCAAAGTCTGTAAAACTTAAAAATTAAGTTAAAAATTAAGCATCCAAGAGTAAATAACTCATGCTTAGCCTCACAACCACTAGCATTTGTATTCGGACCAATTGACCTTTTAGCACAGCCTCTTGGCCGTGAAGTTCGACTTCCCCGTCCACTGTGTGACCCGGCCAGAAACCTGAGGGTCATCTTTGACTCTCTTTCCCATCACAACCTCCAACAAAATCCAGCCCATTAGCAGGTTCTCTCAACTGAACCCCTGCATATCAGAAGATACTGGCATTTCCTTATCCCAGTGATCCTGGGTCCTGCCTCCATCATCTCTTGTTTCCGTGATGACACAGGCCTTCTGATCTGTTTCGTGGCTTCTCCTCTCATCTGTTCTCTGTGGGCTAACAACCCTGTTCCAAGACACTTTTCTGCCACCGTCTTTGGGGTCAAGTGCAGAGTCCTCAGTATAACTTCCAAGGCCCTGCACCGTGTGGCTTCTCGTGTCCCGTTGAGCTTCACATCTTGCCCCTCCCCTCACAGGAAGCCAAGACCGGGCTTTATTGAGCTTCTGCATCATGCACAAGGAAGAATGGCACAGCCTTGGTGGAAGTTCCCTTGGGAGGCTTGCCTTGATTCTAGGTCCTACCAAATTCTGAGACCAGCACCCGCTCGGTGTGTTATAACACTGTGTCCTTCCTCATCCTGGCTTGTGACACACTGGGTGTACCCCTCATGTTTATTCCACTGTCACTTACAGACTGGGAGCCCCATGGAGGCAGGGACATATCTCCCTTCCGGACCTCTGTATCCCCTGTGCCTTGCACAGCGCCTGGCACTGTGCTCAGTAAAACACGTAGGTGCTCAGAGTGTCACACTGGAGATGAAGATATTAAAACTCACATTTCATGACTTTTTGAGACCACACAACTCATTAGAAACAATTGCAGTGGTTAGCAGCACAGATTTTAGTACCAAACTGATTCAAGCCCTCCCTCTGCTACCTACCTCATCTAAGCCTCAGTTTCCTGTTTCATAAAATGGGGATGAGACCTGCTAGGGTTAGGAGAACAAAGTGAGGGTATTGCATGCTCAGTGCCCGGCCAAGCACCTGCACGTTGTAAACTGTCCGGTGATAGGTTTTCATTCGAACCTCTCAGAGCAGCATTTGCCTTACAACTGTGCCCTTGTGACACTGTCAGAGCAGAGCGACATTGTCTGCTGATGGTCACATTGAGCTGATGTTCACAGAAAGTGTAAATCAAGAATAAAGACAGTTCTATTAGGAAAATCCTCAGGTTTTGAAAGTGTTTTATCTGGTGATTTTATTTTATTTTTTTTGACTGTAATTATCTCTAGAAAGACTAAACTGTACCAAAGTCTAAAAATATGTACTAGGAAGCATTCCCAAGGTTCTGTTTATCGTTATATAAAAGAGAACGATCATATATGAACTTCAATGAAACCCTGTATCGGCTTAGTGTGATGGCATATGGATTGGGCTCCAGAACTGGCAAATACCTTTCATATACTATATTTATGTGATTGATTTCTCATAGATGGCAGTGCCTGTAGTCCACAGATCATTTTCATTTGATAGAAAGATAAATATAACCCTAAATGATAAGTTTCAATGAAAGATTTAATATTCTTATTATATATCACAAACGGAGCATTGCTCATAAAATGAATGAATTGAGGATGTTTTGGAAGCAGGCTATCGTGGGTTCAAGCCCTGGTTCCACCACATCTTACCATCATGACCTTGGACAAGTTCTTTCGGACCTCTGAGCTCTGGGTTTCTCATCTGTTAAATGGATCAGGTACTATGTGCTATCTTCAGGATTTGCTGGGAAGGCAGAGTAAGCAAACGTGTAAATCACTCAGCACTGCCCTCAGTTCTGCTTGCAAAAAACCCCAGACATCTTACTCTCAATTTTAGCCCAACTTAAATTGGTAACAGATCTATTTGAAAATTTGTTAGCTCGTTGTAAAGGTAACTGTTGCCAACCTGGATTATCTTATCCAAGGAAAACGGTTGACTGATGACTTTTTCCATAGTTCAGCTTCTTAGCTGTACTTGCTATCCACCACAACAGGAAAACGTTTAAGAATTACAGTTCATGCTGTTTAAAAGGTATAGTGAAACCTTGAAGTAATTCGGTCTAGTATTTGAGAAAAAGTCAACTTGTTATCAATATTTTAGCGAGTTGTTTTAAAATTCCCAGTGACCCAGCCCCCTTTATTTTGCTACCACTAGGGTCAATCTGTTCCTAATCTCTGTAGCCCCCATAGCTCCAATGTCATATAACCACTAACTACAGGAGGATCTCGAGAAACCTCCATACAGTATAACCATTATAAAGTAGTAAAAATATGAATTTGACTTCTGTGGGCAATTATTATTGGTACTCAGTTATTATTAGTGCTCTAGTTATCATGGGAAGTGTGTAAAACATAATAGCTAACTCTTTGGAGAATTTGCTTCAAGAAATGATTGGAAAATGTGATCTGTATAAGAAGACGTTTCAATTTGTGCATGACTATTGGCTTTTAAGTACCTTACTGTTTTTCTCCTGATGTTCCCCCAGTTAATTCTTTTCTTAATTGATGTCTGTGCTCTCTCTCTCTCTCTCTCTCTATCTCCCTGGCAGTCTTTTCCCTATAAAAGGACCCATCTGTCTAAGGTAGAGATTTTCCATTTTTATGTACTAATCAGTGGCTAAGCTGCATGGGGTAGGCATGCTTCTCATTTAGAAGTCTCCTTTAACTCTGCTTGTCCCGTACAGTGGTGTTTTGTTTGCTTTCCTTCAAGTAAAATATGTTCTTTTCAGCCTGAATTCAAGCACTCCTAAAGTATGTCTAATTTATAATCATAGTCATAGAGCAAAGAATACATTTAAACTTGCTAATCCATAATGATTAAAAATCGTACTTGACAAACCAGTGTTCTTTGTAATATGTAACTACATATAGAGAATAAGAGAGTGAAAAAAGCTCTTTCAGAAAAATGACTCATTTTCATTTGATTTATTAGACTTGAATTTGAGCGGCAGCAGCGTGAAGAACTTGAGAAATTAGAAAGTAAAAGGTAAGCCACGTGGTAGGAGTCATGACACCACAGAGTGGGTGGGTGCCTGTGTTGATGTCCTAGGCTGAGATCACCTGTGTCTGTGTCATCTCCCTCTGGCTCCCTGTCCATCATTTACACGTCTGATGACTGTATCTCCTTTCTCTTTAGCTGGTTAGTTTTACTTCACGTTTGAATTTTTTAAATAGTTCACCTTCAAATACTTGTGAGACGGGGGAGTAGAGTCAGTAGGCAAATTTAATACACTCTTTAAGTGTAATACATCAAATGTAGACTTGTTTAAATTTAACTAAAAAGTATTTCTTCCTTAATAATATCCTGAGTTTTAAAAAAGCTGAAAGAATGACACTTCCCCTTCTTATGCCTCCTCACTTTTTACACATCTTTCCTTATGTTGATCAGCCATTTGTATTTCCTTTTCTAATCTGCCTCTGCATGTTCTAAGCTCCCTTTCCTTTTGGGGTGTGTGTGTGTGTGTGTGTGTGTGTGCGTGTGTGTGCGTGTGTGTTTAATTGATTTGGAGAGCGTTTTTTATATGTTCTGAATGTAATTCTTTGATAAAACTAAGTAGTTTTCTTTTTTTTTCCTGTCCTATTTAACAAGCCAAGAAATGGACCAAGGATAGATATTAGAATAGAAAGTAAGGCTGCAGAAAATCTACACCCTGGATATTTATTTTCTAGAGTGTGGAGTCTGGATGTTACAGATCAATTAGTTTAGCTCACAGCATCATGTACGATAGGTCTTTGGTGGGTCAGGAGATGGAGGCCGTGCATCCGTACTCTGACATGCCCTGTGTTCTTGCTTTGGAGGCCACCCTGACCTCGAAACATTGACTTAGCACCCAGTGGGGACCCTTTGCTCTCTAAGACACAACATGACATGTAACCCCCGGGATCATGCATTTAAGTATTCTAATGGAGATTGACGTTATTTTCAATGTTATGCATTAATAAACTAATATTTTGGATCATTTGGTGATTACCATTTGTCCTAAACTAGTGATTAAATGCTAAATAGCGTGTAGTTATTTGAGCTGGAACAATGAAGTGTCGATTATCTTGACTTTGATATTTGACCCTGATGAGTTGAGGACAGCATAAGCATTTTTATTTAATGTCATTTTGTAACCGAATTTCCATTGAGTTTTATCCTTTGGGCTGAATAAAATTATTCACATTTAAATTTAAATTGGGCATTTCTCTTTCTCTTTGAGCTCAGGGGGCTTTACAAATTATATCATGCATAACACATTATGCTTATAGGCTCTGCAAAGAAATGATAGCAGAAGCTATTTCAGGAGATTAGGCAAATGATATGTTGGACAGTTACAGAGTAAAAAAATTAAACAGCATGCTGCTGGATATTAAAAGGAAAGTGCTGTTCTCCCTCTTTTTTTTTTTTTTTTTTTTAATTTTACTTTAGTGAAGGGTGTGTGGTGTATGTCCATTTCTAGGAGATACCAGTTTAGGGAGAAGTTAGAGCAGCATTTGAACCTAGCGCTCAAATAACGATCAGTCAACGATCTGCATTTCAGAAAACTCATAGAAGAGATGGAGGAAAAGCAAAAGTCCGACAAGGCTGCGCTGGAGCGGATGCAGCAGGAGGTGGAGACGCAGCGCAAGGAGACGGAGATCGTGCAGCTGCAGATCCGCAAGCAAGAGGAGAGCCTCAAGCGCCGCAGCTTCCACCTGGAGAGCAAGCTCAAGGACCTGCTGGCCGAAAAGGAGCGGTTCGAGGAGGCGAGGCTGAAGGAGCAGCAGGAGACTGAGCTGCAGAAGAAGAAACAGGAAGAGGAGCGCTTTCTCCGCGTCCGGGAAGAGCTCCAGCGGCTGCAAGAACTCAACAGCCACGAGAAGGCCGAGAGGGTTCAGATATTTCAGGAGCTGGAGCAACTCAAGAGGGAAAAAGAGGAGCAGTGTGTCAGGCTGGGGCAGGAGAGGAGGCGGCTGGAGGGGCAGGAGGAGGAGCAGGTCCTGCGCGTGGCGCGCCTGGAGGAGCAGCTCCGGGACAAACGGGAGCTGGTCCGGCTGCCGCGGCTCGGGG